AGTGGGTTGAAGTAGCCTCGTTCGCCTCTGTTACCATAAATGTCGTGGCCCGGTTCATCAAGCATAACCTTATTTGTCGGTATGGAATCCCTGAGAGAATCATTACAGACAATGGTACTAATCTAAATAACACTATGATCACTGAACTCTGCACACAGTTCAAGATCAAGCACCACAACTCTTCTCTGTGTCAACCAAAGATGAATGGCACAGTGGAAGCCACCAACAAGAATATTAAGAAGATTATACAGAAGATGGTTCTGACCTACAAAGACTGACACGAGATGTTACTATTTGCTCTTCATGGATATCTCACTTCAGCATGAACTTCAACTGGGGCAACCCTGTTCTCTCTGGTCTATGGTATGGAAGTTGTTCTACCTGTCGAAGTTCGGATTCCTTCTCTAAGAATCATGAAGGGTGCAGGTTTCTACGAAGATGAGTGGATTCAAACTAGGCTGGATCAGTTGAATTTGATTGACGAGAAAAGTCTTGCGGTTGTTTGTCACAGTCAGATGTATCATAGGCGTGTGATCAAAGCCTTCAATAAGAAGATCAAGCATCGAGTATATCCGGCTGGTGACTTGGTAATAAAGTGCATCATTCTACCACAAGGTGATCCCAGGGGAGAATGGGCTCCCACCTACGAAGGGTCATTTGTAATTAAGAATATATTTTCGGGCGGTGCTATGATATTGACCACCATGGACGGTGAAGATTTTCCACACCCTGTGAACACGGACATAGTCAAAAGATACTACGCATGAAAACAACCCGCTAGGTTGACTAGCCTAGGCAAAAATAAGGGCATCCTGGCAAACCAAAAGGGTTCGAGCAAAAATTATGGATATATACGAAAGATTGTACACCCGGCAAGTCGAAAACCTGAAAAGGCAGCTTGGGCAAAAAAGGGTATCCCAGTGGACTGAAAACCCGAAAGGATGGTCCAGGAAAAATTTAGGGATTAAATCATTTGACTGTGTCTCGTGGGATCACTTAGAATAAGATTTGTTACCAACGTCAAGTTCAAACGGTACAGATCAGTCTAGTTAACCTTTTCCGACAGCAAAGGACGAGATGCTTGAAGACATAGGAGCGATAGCAGAGTTGGAACTCGATGAGATTATTTCCACATAACTATTATTTTATTTTCACTTTGTACTCTCTTTATTTCACGACGATTTCCTCTTACTATGATTTATGTCTCTTTATACAAAACCGCCTGTTTATGGGCAAACTATCAATAGAAATGCAAATTTCAAAATTCAAACTTTTTGTTTTACCTTTTCTGTTTTGTTTGCAAAAAACGTCCAATGACTAAAATTGAATGAACATATGCATATGAATATGATTAACTATTAAAAAAATATGTGCGTAAAAACAGGAATAAGCATTTTCTCAAGAATCTAGGAGTCAGGATAATGTTTAAGTCGTCCACGTATCCCCATAAAAAGATCCTCATAGGATTATCCCCATAAAGTCATCTTCACAAACTCTTTTTCAACAAAGATACACTCCTGGAGAGACTGAATTAACTAATCATACTCACCAGCAAATCACCCTAGCAGATAAATGAATATGATCTTTTTCCCGGCAATGTCGCCAACATAACAGAATTCCATTCTCCATCAGAGATTATAGCATTAGTACAGTTTATGGAAATTTTCTTCCCCATCTGAGTTTATTCCTCCAAGACTGTAAAAACCCCTGCAGATTTCTTTTCTCCAGAAGAGCTCATTTCCTCAGCAAGAGTATTTCCTCAACAAAATATTTCTTCGTCCAACTTAGGGTTTATTTCCCCAAGAGGGTTTATTTCCCTAGCAAAGTCCAATCTCCCCAGTAAGAGTCTATTTCTCTAAATACCGACAAGATTCCCATCTCCATCAAAGAGAAGTCTGAACCACTATCCCCAGAGAGTTGCTACTAAATCTGGAACTAGAGTAAATATCGCTTAACCTTATCATCCCCAGAAGAGTCGGCATCCATATTAGAAACTTGATCAAACAGCACATCGAAAAGTTATCCATCTCTTTTATCCCCAGTCAGGGCATATAAGAATTAAATTACCCAATAGAGCGATGAACAACCAATGTTCTTGAACTCTTCTCCCCAAATAGAAGTCAACATTCCCCAACTGAGTTTCCTCAAACAGGAAGCAGGAACCCCCAGCAAAAACATTCTAGACGAGAATGAAGATTACACATTTTTTGCATCCCCAACACTAGTCAGGGATCCTTTTTCCCCAATGAGATTCAATGAGATGTTATACAAAGCTATTAAATACGCTTCAACGACATTTCACATTCATACATCATTTACAAACATCATGGAATATGCATACGAAATGCATATAACACACTCTGATTTATTTTGATAACATCATTATGTAATGTATTTCATACATCATGACATTGCATACAGCTAACCCTTTATCTCTTCAGGTAAAGTCTACAAACAGACGAATATCATCAACAATTTTCAAATAGGTCGCAGATTAATTCGTGAAACAAGATAGGGCAACTATCTGTATGACCAGACACAAATTAATTCCCGAAACAAGACAAGGCAAATATTTGTGGAAACTGATTGTAGATCAATTCCCCAGACAAGACGGGCGACTATCTACATGAATCGAGCGAATATTAACTCCCGAAACAGGATGGGGAAACTATCTTCCTTTTTATGGTCAGATAAAGATCAATTCTCAAAACAGGACGGGGCGATTATCTTTATCACCAAATGGTATGAAATCCAGAAACAGAATGAGTTTACCAACAAAAATCAAAGCAAAACAAAGATTAACTCCCGAAACAGGATAGGGAAACTATCTTTCTTTCTTTACAACGAAACAAGGATTAACTCCCGAACAGGACGGGGAAACTATCTTTCTCTCTTTATGGTCAGATAAATATCAATTCTCGAAACAGGATGAGGCGACTATCTTTATCACCAACGGTATGAATTTCCCGAAACAGGATGAGTTTACTAATAAAGTAGATTGTAGATCAATTCCCGAAACAGGACGGGGCGACTATCTACGTGACAAGCAGCTACTCAAACACCCTTCCCAAAGGTTTATTCTGGAAAACATTCTTCAGATGCATTGGAGCGTAGACTCATTCTGATACTTCTATCAACGGTTACCTTTGGATGGCATCTATAAGCCATCTCCGACAACTCACTGTCACCTATCCAAATGGCATATTTAATCTTATTCCTGATACAATCAATCAACAGTGTTACTTGATGCACATACGAGTGAAAATATTTCCGGGAACTTAAGTGTTCAATCATCTTCTACCTTCAAGTCACGAATGGCGGACATGCCAATCTACTCTTCAGGTTTTAAGAATATTGAACAGGGGCAGCTATTGCACCCCAAAATTTTCCCTCCTAATTCTACTTTTATCTGACTTAGGCTTTGCATTTCATTTGCACCATTCTCATTAGGTCATTCACACATCATTCCTGCATTTCAATAAGGCAGTGGTTCGAAGCATCAGTGGTGGTGCTAACTAGGGTTCAATTTTGGTCTGAGGCTACTACATTCTATAATTGATTTCCTTGCCTCCTCCTTGGGAAGTGGACAGTGGAATCAGGTTTTAAAGTATGGTTATCATGATTTTCTTATTCATCCATGTACAAGGTCGTTTCTCATTCAAATTCATCAAGATCTTAGATTAGAGTTTATTTCCCTATGTGTGACTAAAAATTAGGGTTTACTCCTCAGTTACCATCTCCTAGGTTACTCAGTCAGAAATTAGGGTTTTCTATTGGTTTGAGGGGTTTCTTCACCAGACAAAGACATATCTATCTGGTTCTTGATTATTGGATTATGTGAAATTATGGATTTGAAGTATGGTCATCATAAATTCCTTCTCCTCAATCTATAAAGTCTATTCTCCATCCAAATTCATCAGAACCTGAATTGGGGTTTATTTCCCTTTTGTTTGTTAAGAGACTATGGTTTTGGATCCATGTTATTATGAAATTCTTCTTTCATCTACTTCAAATACGTCTCAAGAGCAAGATGTTAGGGTTACGACTTATTGATGTTAAGGTTCTCACCTATATTTTCAACTGAGAAGACTTTGAACCAGGGTTTTCTAGATTCTCGATATCTCAAGCCGCCTTCTTCATTCAATGTGCATCTCATGTGAATTGGAGTTGTTGATCTTAGGGTTTCTATAATTACTTCAGGGGAGAATCTTGTGGGCTAGGTTTCATCCTTGTATTCTTAAATCATCTTCATTTCAAGGCATTTATGCTTGTGTTAATTTCATCAATTGGAAAAGGTTTTGTCTCAATAAAGAATGTATCAAGTTTTCTTTCGAGAATTTATTGACTTGAGGCATTCTTTTGGGTCATGTCACATTTTGTTATTAAGTAAATGATTTTGCATCAAGGCGTTATGGTTCAATTGAATTAAAACATAACATGTAAGTTTATTGGATGCCGTTTTGTGAATAACAAATCTTGATTCAAGATCTCAAGATCATGATTTGTCAAGGTTTAATTTGAGGCCAGGATAAAAAGATTCATTATTCCAAGTGATTATTGTTAACCAAGTGATATCAAGCAAAAGTTTTAAAATGTTTATAACTTACTTGAAATATAAGACATAAGTGTTAAGTTTATGATGTATTCCAAAATCAAATTGATTCATTAAATCTTATGCTCATGGTCATGATTTCAAGAGATAAACAAAGTGAACTCAATATTTGCAAAATCAAAGGAAAGGTTAAACATCAGTCATCAAGTTCATTCAAATCTACAACCATTCAAAGTTGTTGGTTACATCACCAATACTACAGTGAATGACAAAAATTACATAAAACTTTTTGTTCTACAACCTAATCATAAATCTTAAAGTTGCTAGAATTCCATGCTTGTCACCACATGAAATCTTCAAGACATGTCAACTTGGTGCCTTACCCAAATTCTTTATGCTAAACCACCAAAAAGCCATGCAAATCCTGCTACAAAAAAAAAACAGCCTGCTATGCTACATAAACAAGCCTATGAACCTCCAAGAGCCTTCTAATCTGCCCTGCATTACAGTCCCAAAACTGTAAAACTGTTATCCTGCAATGTTGTTGTCCAGATACAAACCAGCCTGCAAAATTTGTCCATAAAACTAGACTTGCATCATGCTACATACCTATCGTACATGACCTCCAAGCCTATCTAAAATAGTCCTATGATGTCCACGACACTCCAAAACTAGCTCTGCAAAACCTGCATACAACAGTCCATAAGCATATTGTCCAAACTGCAAAATTGCCCAAAATACACCCATACAAAACCTGCATCAAGAAAGTAACAAAACACATCATCAAAATAAAACTCAATTCCTCAAAGTTCCCCCCAATTTCCATGACTCTTCAATATAAAACCAAGCAGGAATTGCAGACAACAGGAGGCATCGTAGAGAAGAAATACATAGAAAAATACTTCTAAAACTTTTTTTCAATCACACAAGAATCTCGGACAGAAAAATATATTTAAATCTGTTCAAACAAACACAAAAATTCCCCAAAAAACACAAAAAACCTCACAGGCACAAAAGTATCACACAAAAGTCAACAGTTTCAGATAGAAGGGAAAGCAAGAAAAGGTTGAACTCACCCCCTTTTCAGAATTATGTTAAAGACTCTGATAGGTACTGCTTCTTCCACTCTTTTGCATAAATTTATTCTACACATCTCTTCTTTTTATGCTCTGAGTTTGTTGTCATTGTTGTTGTTTAAGTCCGAACCAAATCATGAACCTGTGAACTGAAAAGCTATTGTTGTTATTATCTATCGTGAATTTGTGAAACATGAATATTTTTATGTGATTGTTGTATCGAAATTAGAATGTGAGAAAAATGCAAACTTCTGAACCGAGAGATAGAGAGAAGCTTACGAAAGGGAGTTATCAGGGTTGAGTTTCGTTGTTAAGCCGTGGTGGTTTCTACCGAAAAACAAAGTGTGGCTACTGTGTTGTATCGTAAGGAGTATGTCGTGAGAAAGACTGAGAAGATGATGAAGCGAAGAACAGAGGCAGAAGTAAGAAGTGTTAGTTGAGAAAGAGAGAGAGAGAGAGAGAGAGAGAGAGAGAGAGAGAGAGAGAGAGAGAGAGAGAGAGAGAGAGAGAGAGAGAGAGAGAGAGAGAGAGAGAGAGAGAGAGAGAGAGAGAGAGAGAGAGAGAGAGAGAGAGAGAGAGAGAGAGAGAGAGAGAGAGAGATTTCTTTTTGTTTAATTGTGGAGCTTTTTGGAATTAAACAAAATATTAATAATGAAATCAATTTTGCCCATTTCCAAAGAAAACTAGCGGCACTCTCCCCTCAATTAGGGTTTCAAAAACCCTCTCTTTTCCCTCTAGTTAGATCTGGGTTGTGGGCCTTATGCATTCAATCCAACTTAATTAATTCTTAGCTTTTGTATTAATGGAAGCGCCATAATTCACGAATGAACAGATGGTGTAGCGGTTAGTGCGTGCGTGTGAATGCTTGAGGTCACAGGTTCGAACCTCCCCTAGGAAATTTTTTTACCATCATTATGTTTTTTCACTTTAACCCAACTCTTTCATTTTATTTTTAATCAAAGTTTTAAATATAATAGAAGAAACAACTTGGCTTAGTGGCAAGGCAAGAGGGCTGCAATCTTGTGGTCTTGAGTTCAATCCCTAGTGTTGCTCCTTTTTTTTAGTTTTAGGTTATTTAACTTTATTTTTTCATACAAAAACATTAGTTTAGGTTTATAATTATTTTTTTCCCTTATAAAGATACCAAAAAATATATTAGTACAGTTTCTAGTCATTTTAGTTAGTTTAGATATAATTTAGTCACTTTAAGAATTAACTTACTTTAGATTTAATTTAGTAATTTTAGGATTTTAATTTTTAAAACCTTTCGAATTTTAATTTAATCTAGATAACTTTTATTTTAGTTACATCTCTATTCTACATCTTTACTTTCTTTTCTATCAAAAAAAACATAAAAAACAATTTTCTCTCTTTTCATTTTCTCGTAGTTTACTAGTGTTCTGGACTGGCCCAACAGCTTGACTGGGCTCAGTCTAAGAGATCTTCTTTGGCACGGCCCGCACGGTCATAACCCGGAATGCCCATTACCTATCGGGCAATGACAGTCGTTACCCTCCCAGTTCAGCACTGGCCCAGGATGATCGACGAGCATCCTCTCAGCCTGCCCGACATCAATGTCGTGCAAGCCACCAGGAACCAACCAGAGAGATGCATGTAACTAACCCCCTCCTCGGAACCAACGGCTAATTACAGGCACATCTGCCTGGTTTGACCAAGTCCTGGAAGTTACCTGATTTCAAGGGCTCGTATATCTAGGCATGAAATCAGGAACCAATGGCCATGCGCCAGGGGTATTATATAAACCCTCACACCTATAAGGGTCAGGTATCAAATATTCATTATTCACTCCCTTAATACTTTGCTTGTAACTCCTTGTTCCCACTCTTACTTGATCGTCAGAGTGCCTTGCAGGTACAACCCCCTTTTCTCTCCTCAATATGACAGCTCGACTACAGATCATCTTCTGGCCACTTCTCAGGTTCTGATCAACCGTTAAGATCAGTGACACTGTCTGTGGGAAGCTTCTCTCCCCGTCTTTCTTTCCTCGAAATTTAAGATCAAAGAAACTTTTTCGAGATTCCTCTCACTAATCATGGTCGACCATGATGGTCTTCACATATCCAGAAAGAACAGTCTCCCCCCCTGCTCGCAAAATTGACGGAAGTGAAGAACATCCTCACCTCGAGGACAACCTAGGCTTCCGGGACAGATAGACCGCATCTCCAGATTCCACTAACACCTAGCACATTGACAACCAATTCTTGGACAAGGGACACTCCAATAGTCTTACCGAGGAACTGCCAGAAGTCATACAACCAGTTCCCATCCCTCTCAACACTGATCCGACCATGGTAGCACTGCTCACTGCTATCAATCAGACCAACTCCTTTATCCTACAACAAAATCAAAGGATAGGGGCCTGGGAGAATAGGTGATCAAGATATCCTCCTCAGAGAACCTGACAAAAAAACTCCCCCAGTGCATCGCCACCCAGGCGTGACCCATCGCCCAGAAAGGAGAAGCACGGCGTTTCTTTCTTCAAGAAACACAACTGCATACCTCATGCCAGAGATCAAAACTCCCCTTTGTTCAAGAAGAGGAAAGACAACAGGAAAATCGACCCCGCTCGACTGTCTTCTCCCGAGCCAAAGCAGAAATGAAGGAGCCCCTCCCCCTGGCGAGACCGTGACAATCGACGGGGAAGAAATTATCGCTCTCCTTCTCCATCTCCCGTTGATAGCGAGGATAACGAGCCCCGTGGCCCACTATCAAGGGAGATTACCGAAGCTACGCTTCCTATTGGCCTAGAGAAGCCGCCTACATTGGGAACCTACGACGGAACAATAGACCTTGACGAGCACATCAATAATATCGATGCTCTTCTCAACTACCGAGGGGTAAGGGGAGCCATCCAATGCAAACTCTTCCCAACCACTCTCATGAAGGGGGCGATGTCATGGTACAAGAGCCTCCGCGATGAATCCATCACCTCGTGGAAAGAAATCGGGAGGATATTTTTTAGGCATTTCACTGCCTCTCATCGACACCCGGAATCAGAGGCTTCGCTCGAAGAAATCATATAGGGTAGGGACGAGCCTCTGCGGGCATATATTGAACGCTTTAACAAGGCAGCGATCCAAGTCCCAACAATGTACAAGATGAAGAAGTACCTCCTCGAGCGCGGGCTCCGTCCCTGCAGCGACTTTGCCAAAGCTGTAGGTATAGAGATGACGACCATGCTCGACTCCCTCCTTCTCAAGGCCCAGGCGTACATACAGTACAAGGAGAAGGAGGCGACAAACATCGCCAGGGAATTTAGGCACAAAGAGAGTGCCAAGTCCTCGAAGAACGACGAGCACTCGACATCCCGTCGGAGAGAGAAGAAACGGGAGGACAAGTCTCATGATTCCAAAGATTATAAGGAGCCAATCAGTCATTTCCACGACTACACCCCTCTGATAACCTCAAGGGAGAGTATTCTTTCTGAATGTGTTAATTATGAATTCAAGAAAGTCGGGGTGCACTTCCCCCGATAAATACCATCCAAGCCAGGAACCGACAAGAGAAAGTATTATAGGTTCCACAAGAGTCACAGGCACAATACGGAGGATTGCATTCATCTCAAGGGTGTAATCAAAATACTGATCAGAGACGAGCACCTTAAGCAGTACAAAAAGGAGGGTGCCTGTGACGAAGCACCAGAAACCAAAAACGTCGAGGAAGGGAAGAAATCCACCGACCTCGACCCTATTCCGGTCGCCATGAGAATCTCACGGCCAGAAGACTTCTACTATTCGGACATGGAGAACATCCCCATGTACTTCTCCTCCAACAGTCCTTGGGAATCCTTCCCCGCAACCATGGTCATCTTCGGCGAAGGGTTCAACAGGAACACGGTTGGATCAGTGAAGAGGAGATTCAACCAACTCATTAAAGCCAACTCAGATATGGATGCCACGCTCGATAAATTCTGAGGAGGCTCTCATCCCCTCACCTTCTACAGGGAAGAATTTCCAGGCGGGCCCCGAATTCGATCATCCCACTACTCGTGAGAGCTCGAATGGCTAATTTCAATATGCGTTGCATTCTGGTCGACCAAGGCAGTTCGGTGGACATCATGTACGCCCAGTTGTTCACCACCTTGCAGCTGAACGAGAGCCATCTAACCCCCTACGTGGGATCTGATCTCCAGGGCTTCAATGGAGCCAGCACGAAACCCTGGGGATATGTAGAACTGATCGTCACATTCGGGATAGGGGTGACGACCAGAGCCATCAAGCCCCAATTCGTAGTGGTATATTTCCCGTCTCTCTACTAGTGTATCTTTGAGAGACCCATTCTCGCTGAAATCATCGTGGTTCCTTCTACCGTTCATCTCAAAATGCAGTATTACACCGTCGAAGGCTTGGTCACAACCCTCCACGGGGACATCCAAGCTGCCAGAAGGTGCTTCGAAGCCTCTGCCAAAGGTCTCAATTCCATCAGCACCCAACCTTGAACGACCACTAGAGCCACACTGCCCTCCAGTTCCGAGGAAGTCAAGCCGTTGCCGAGGGAAAATGCTGATCTGTTCTCCTGGAGTGCGGCCGAGATGCTCAATTTAGATCTAGAGGTTACATGCCATCACTTGACCATTAATTTTTCCATCAAGGCGATCATACAGCGCAGAAGAAAGCAGTCGTCCGAGAAAGAAAAGGCTGCAGCTGTAAAAGACCTCCTAGAGGAATGTTTTATTTCTGAAGCCCAGTACACAACCTGGATCTCAAATGTTGTTCTTGTTAAAAAATCTAATGGAAAATGGCGCATGTGTATTAACTATACTTATCTCAATCGGGCTTGCCCGAAAGATGTTTATCCCCTCCCCAATATTGAAAAACTTGTCAACAACTCAGCCGGTTTTAAATTTCTATCATTCATGGACACGTACTCTGGTTATAACCAGATTCCCATGGCAAAAAAAGATAAAAAATATACCACTTTCATGACCGAGTCAGGCAACTATTACTATAACGTAATACCCTTCGGCCTAAAAAACGTGAGCGCTACTTACCAGCGCATGATGAATAAAGTTTTTCGCAACGAGATAGGTAACATGCTCGAAGTCTATACGGACGACATGATCGTCAAGTCCACCGAAGAGCTCGACCATGCTGCCCACTTAAAAAAAGTGTTCGAGCAAGCTCGAAAATGCCGGATGTGATTCAACTCGGAAAAATGTACCTTCGGCGTACGGG